GATATACACTGTCTCACGACAGTCCGAGTCTCTGTATATGATGATTCAAATGACAGTGATCTGTAAGAAGGCCTGTTAGAAATCGTAGTTCATCTCTACTGTAGTCCAACAAATATTTGGTATCAATCTCCGAAGGGTGAATAAACGCTTCGAAGTGAGCCAATTCTGGAAGATTCTGCCAGAAGACCATGAATCTTCTTGCTATTCAGGTGTTCAATCTTTGTTTGGAAAGCCTAAAGCGATGCTAATGACAGGTTCTGGTCCGATGAAGCTGCTTGCAGCACCCTTCTTTGCAAGAAAGTCAGCAGCCTTATTGCGTTCCAGGCTAGTATGGCCACGAATCCAGAGTAGAGATAATACGTCGAGTATTTCTATCGAGGAGAGTCGTTTTCGACAATTTGCTACCAATTTAGAGGTTGCTCGGTAGGAGCTAAGAGCTTCCAACGCCGCTTGACTGCAAAAATATTTTTATTGACTCGTGTATGAGGTTGGATCCTTTCAGTTTCTCCGCACACAATTTAATAATAGCGTAAATTGAAGCTTTAAATACAGTCTCGTAGGTTCCTGGCCTGAATCTGCGACTGCACCAGAACCGGAAGGTGTTTTTAATTCATTTGTGACCCAACGACTATCTGCTCTCAATATTTCCTTCCCCCGGAGAATCCAGTCTTCTCTACTCGTGAACAGTACTTTATAAGGTAGTTCGTGACTTCCAGTGTCAACCAACAGTCTGTTGCAGTCTGTGCAATTGGCAAGGTGCACAAGTCTCTATGCAGTCCATCTATCCTCTCTCTCCAGAAAAATGTGAAGAGGAGGTAGATCTAGAAGGATCCCCATAGTCGCTAGCGGTGTGGTACTGATGACACCACTGATGATCAGACAAGCCTGTCTCTGTGAGCCAGAGAGCTTTGCCTAGGCCGTTTTCTGTAAAGCCTGGTGACCAAAGGTTCAACAGAAAACGACCCAGTTGGTGCTCACTGGCTTACAGAGACAGGCTTGTCTGATATATACTCATTCATGATACCTCACAGAGGTTAGTTTCGCAGAAGTTTCTCGTTCATTCAGCAGCAGGACCATGCTCAAATCATTTTCAGCTCGAGCTGGAAGCATGTTATGAAATTTTGGGGTACGTAACATGCTTGGCTTTTCCTTAATACTTTCACGATTACTGACCTAGTTTGCTTTCCTTTCGAACTTTCCTTCATCTTCATTCATAAACACTTACAGCAAACATTGTTGGGAATATGAACATAGATCAAAAACTTTCAAAACTCTATACTACTATCTATACTACTATATCTATGTATATCTATATCTATCTATCTATCTATCTATATCTATCTATATCTACTATATCTATCTATACTAATATCTATAGATCAGTCTCCTGTATAATATTTTGAGAAGTACGTTTTGGGTAATTTGTGAAGGGTATAAAAATGTATTGATGATCTCCTACCACGAAGTAACGCCAACATCCATCAATTTATAAAAAAATCTTGTTAATACGAGAGTAATACGACCTAACAAAGATACACAATATTTATTCAGATTTTTTTTGTCTATTTCTTACTGTAGTCTTTTTTCAACTCTATTACACACTTCCCCCAGCGATGCTCCCATCTGTGTAACCCACCCAAATAGAACTCACCGTTTTCCTCCGCAAAATAATTGTACACGAAGGTGATTATGGCCTTTTCATTTGTCCATTCATTTGGATTTTTTCGAAAAACGTTTGTTTCAAATTGATAACTTTTTGAGAGGAATTTGCCTCATGCTACAAGATACTTTGAGAATCCTACAAATTTACAAAGACATTGAAATAATAAAGAAACCTCCACTACCTTTTAAAAAAAGCAATCCACCACACCTTTCTTCGGAACTTCGTGAAAAAGGTGGAAACTTAATAATTCATGTTGATTAGAAAACCAAGCTTCCAGAAATTTCCATCTGATGAGCTGCTTCTTTTTGTGTAATTAACTTTCACCATCGCTTTCAGGGGAGCGGCTGTAATTGACACAAAAGGCTCTGGAACAACTTTTCTTCTTCATTACGGTGTCTGTCTCTGCAATAATTGTAACTTTGGCTTTGACAGAGATTCTGCCAGATAATTTTTAATGAGCACACCGAGATGCGGGCAGATACTGACTGAAAATGATGTGGGAGGACATATTTCCACCGCGGTTGTGTCAGAACTTCACTTGAATTATCTATCAAATTTGGTTCACGCGAAAAAAACGGCAGGTGGATTCTTGAATCAGACTTCTGGTTTCGAGTCATAGGCAATGCATTATGAAAACAAAATCATTCAACGTGTAGTCAGCTCTCATTGTAACAAATGGAAGCGTGCAGTGGTTAAGGTTTTGTCAAAAAAAAACAACTCTATCTGGAATTACAGTTGAGAGAATATCTTGAGAGAAAACTCATTGATGCCAAATATACAGTCTGGATTCAGAAAAGGTCATAGTTGTACAACTGCACTCCTACATATTAGTGATGAAATAATGAGAGCAACGGATCAGAGTAAGTGTACGATATTGGTTCTCCTCGATTTCAGCAGAGCATTCGATAACTTGAATCATAAACTCTTACTAAATATCTTACATTATATGGGGTTATCTGATAACGCTGTCAAACTTATAGGCAATAATCTGGAAGGTATGAAGCAGCACGTTTGGTTGGATCCTCAAGTATCGAATGATCTGGAACTGAAGGCAGGAGTACCACAAGGATCAGTTTTGGGTCCATTGCTCTTTACTATTTACTCGTCAACCTTTCTAAAGAAACTTACGCTGACGACACTCAATTTTATCATAGTTTTCATCCAGAAGATGTCAAAGAAGCCTGCGGAATCATAGGCTCTGATATTAGACACTTTATTGAACTGGCAACTCCACACTCGACCCTTTAAAAATCAAAACCCAACATTTGAAACATCAATTTGAATATTTTTCGAAGTGAATTTGAAAAATTCATGAAATAAACTCAACTTTATTTTGTTGAAACTTGAATTTGCTGTAATAACCCAAATTAAGGAACATTCCCCATTGAATTTTGCAGATACTCTTTATGGGCCGAAACTGACAAGTCACTCACTATAAACAAAAAATTCAGCAAGTCTAGAATTCTTGTTAGAGAACTTATATATGGAATAAGAAGAAGAAAAAGAATATATCATAAGCTCAAGGAAGTAGAATGGCTAAATGGTGATGTTCATAATATCAACATCAGGTTCAAAGGCCCTTTAACGCCTCCCATTTTCCTCTTTGAGCGATTCCTGACCAATCACTGGCCAGTCACTGATCTTTATTCATCTATTCATATACTTATGTTAATGAAATGCTACTTTAATAACAATGCAGAGACTTTTTTAGGTTAAGTGGAAGAATAATTTAGCAGTTATATGCATAGCTGCGAAAATTGAACTCCGCCTTTTACTATAACTTTATATATGTAGTTAGATCTTAATATTGTTATTTTTTTGTGTGGTTGTAGTAATAAAGACGATAATTATTATAATTAATATTATTGAATACCAGTTCTTGAGAGCAAACAGTGGCGTGTCATCATATCACCTCCACATAGAGGAAGGAATAAGCAGAGCTATTTGAGAATAGCGCTTTACAGATGCGTTTGGGTGTTATACTGATAATAGGAAATAATAATTCCATTTTTCTATTGAATATTGAAAAACCTTATTTTTTCCATACTTTTCTTCAACAATAGTATATTTTTCACGATATTCGGTGAAATTCACGTTTTCGTATGCCTATCATGCCATTAATTTTTCAGATCGAAATATCCAGTGAAACATTCCATTCGGATTCTAAACCTGAATAATATCCCATTTTCAGTCTACAATACTCATGTTCTGAAAACAGTTTATTTTTCATAATCATTGATGGTATTTTTGAAAAATTCAGTTCAAATATTTGAAAGATCTGAAATATTCGTGAATTCACATTGTTGAATGGAGTAATAGCAAATGGTAGCAATATAAAATTTCATGGAGAAATTTTGAAAATACTTTGGCTTTTGAGTTTTGAAATATTGAGTTAGGAGTTACACGTTAAAAGGTAAGACCTCGTTATACCTTAGCTCGCACAAGCTCTGACTTTTCAGAGTTGTCATTCATAGGGGGGCTGTTTAACGAAAAAATAGATTTCAACAGTTTTCAACAGATCTGTAGAAATATTTTAATGCAATATTTCATGATTCACATTGGATTTCAATAGCTGGAGATTGAAAAGATTGGGGAAAACGTTCTCAGGAAGTTTATTCCATGAGAAAGCAGTTCTCCAAATGGAAGAGTTTTTGAACAGTGAAGTTCTAGGTGTACTGAGTTGAACCTAAAAATGATGAACAGCCACAGTCCGTCGCGTATTTCTTCCCATGAAAGTATTTATAGAAGAGAGACAAATCTCCAACTTTTCTTCGATGTTCCAGACTATCAAGGTTGCAAGTAATGTTCACGTTTCCAACCACGATTACTTATTTAGGTTAGGTACCTACTATTGTTGTATATAATAATCTTAGTCCGGTGTGTAATTTTCATCTCTACCGAGAAAGCCATTTCTCTATGTTTTACCTACCTATTTCGAGTGAAATGTCTCTTTATGATATAAAATGTATTTTATATTGAGAGAAACTACCTCGTTATTAAACTTAAACTATTCATCGTCAATGTTCCTCACAGCTTATCAGTGATTCATATCAGGCAGTAACTTTTCAGAATGAACTTCCAATTTCCGCCTTCAATTACACATCAGCAGATTTTCTACAGATTTAGCTCTGATCATTTTCCAAGTTGTGGAAGCCAGAAAACCCGATGAGCAGTGAGAAAAATATAAATAATATTCATTACCATTTTTCTCATTGATCGATTTTGTTTTCCAAGTATTGCTTTCCGTTTCGAACTGGATACGGCCCTGTTCACCAGCACTAACAATTTATGTTTTTGTCAACAAAAAACAGTTGTCTGAATAAAGATAACAATTCAATCGTATTCAGTTGATTCCAAGACACGAAGTGGTGAATTTATTTTTATCACTACAAAAATGTATTATATTATACCAGACGAAGTCCTAGATACCTTGAAGTGCAAGGTTTGCCACAAAATCTTATCAGTTAAACCCGTTAAAGTATACCGAAACGGCCTAATCAAGTGCGGAAGATGTGTTTCGGAAGACGACTGCGGTGTAGTCTCCATGTTTCACTGGATTGGCGATAGAAGTCTTTTCAAATGTGTCAATAGATTTGATGGCTGCAGAGATCTGTTAGTACCATCACAAGTGATCCATCACGAGAACCACTGTATAGAACTCAAACATATTTGCCCAATATGCCCGAGTACTGAAAACATTCCAACGAGCACGTTTATGGATCATTTCGAGAAGGAACATCCCTCAGCAGTCCTCAAAACACCCTCTATAAACATAAACATGGACGAATCCAGCCCTAGCCAGAAAATACTACTCTACAGGATGAGGGATAATTTATTTTTCGTCTATATAAACATCAATGAGTCCGAGAATCTCTTCATGAGTGTGATCCACATTGGCAGATACAGCACCGAGGCAGAAATGAGCCAGATATTCAAGATTCATTGCTTCGATTCGAACGTCACCATCGAAACAAAAAAGAAAATATGCAACTGGTCCAAGTCGACAAACGCTAACGTTTGCCTTGTGGAAAAGTCAGAATTAGGGTCCCGATTTCTGAATATCGAATTTGAAATAGAAATCACAGGTGCAACGCAACTCATTTGCTTACCACCAGGGTTGGTGGATAAGAACTCAAGATATTTCGCCGATTTGGAAAGGTCGGATTATGACGAAGATGAGTTCGTTGAAACCTTCATGTCAGTTTGTCCTATCGCTGAAGACCCTTACATGAACTGGCCAAGACAACTATTGCTCGATGGGAATTATCAAAAACTCTATCCTGAAATTTCTACAACCCTGGAATGCATTGAATTGACGAAAACTCTACCAGGGAATCTGCTAGTGAAGATTCGCCCCTATTGCTGCAATTGTGCGTCCAGTGTCAGCTGTGTCTTCGACCACCAAGTGTTCCTGTTAATCGATGTAACCTACAGTGCTATTTGTTGCCTTTGCTACGTATTCTACAGGAGGAGTGTGTCATTCCAAAATTACCGGTTGGTTCCCAAAGCGCCCCTTCTGGATTGGAGGGAAAGCATCAGCTACGGGAATACTACTTTTTCTTGCATTTGGGGATGTGGGCTTTTTGCAGTCGAAATTGAGGAACATGAATTGAAGTGTGAACAGCAACCTCGTCGAGTTTGCCCGGTCGAATTGTGTTCTTTCATGGGAAAACTGAACGAAATCGAAAATCACTTCTCTGAAAAGCACACCCCTCTTCCATCCATAAAAATGTTCTCTACATTTTATTTGTCGCTGAATAATCGAACAAATCCTTCATCCGGATGGTATGTGTGGGTTCCACCGTACTTTGTGTTTTTGAAGTTTCATTGGGAAGACTCCGCATGGAAATTCACAGTTTCAGTCGATGCTGATGTGAAACCCGAGGTGCTGGTTTATTCCCTCAACAGATCAGGTGTAGAGATGAAGGAATATTGCAGACCCTGTTCGACGATTTTGCAATTTGTAGCCGTTTACAATGACTTTCTAGAGATCCAAGATGTAACGGCCATGCGTTTGGTGCTGAAATGTTACTTGAAGAACTCGTAGAAATTATGAATCAATCATTATTTGTATGAAATGCTCATGTGATTGCAGAAAAATCATCACTGTGGAAATAGTTTTGAAGACAGGATGTGACAGGAAGTTTTTAGCATTTTTCTATTATCCTTTTGAGCATTTTTCGACATTAAACCTTTGTTCTGCTCAAATATCCCATATCCTTTGGATAGTATTTTGACATTCTAAGAGACGAGGATTTTTTTAAAAACTACGTGAAAAAAATGTTAAATATAATCTATACAAATTTACAACAAAAAGTAATAACCTTCATCGAAGAAACTTTTATTCATAAATAATAGACACACAAGTGGGATATTTTGAAGTCTGGTAGTCTGGAAGTAAAACACTGATGTGAATATAGGATAAATATGAGTAGAGTGTGAAAACAATTTTTCACAAATGAATGGAAGATAAACAATTTTGAAAAAAATGTATTTAATGGAATGAAACTGGCCAATACTTGATCATAATCCATAATAAAATTCATTATTACAGTTTATTGTATAAGTTTCACATGAACGGTTGTTACAAAAACCGCAACACGTGTTTCGCTATACAATAGCTTTCTCAAGCGTAAAAGCTTGTATAGCGAAACACGTGTCGCGGTTTTTGTAAAACCCTCCATAGTGATAATCATCAAATAAACTGTATTATTGAGTTTTAAACTTTCATTTGCCTGAATTATCTTCTATCACAAACTAATTTCGATAATTCTTAGAGAATGGAGAAAGTTTTCAATTTCTAAAACAAAATTATGTATTATTTCATAGTTAGGTATCTATTCATCTGTCATCTATTCAAACTGAGATATAGGATTGATGAAGTTTCAACATTTTACATTGTCCAATATTGCCTGATATTGAAAGATCTTGGAAACGTACATTTATTCGAATATAAAGTGGTTTTTTACAAAAATGTTGATAATGAATAGAAAATAAATAATTTTGAAGAAACCTCATTCCCCTGGATTATTTTCTATCACAAACTGATTTCGAACATTATCGGAGAATAAAGAAAGTTCTTGATTTCAAATATAAAATTATGTATACTTGTCAATTCAGTGTCGTCTGTTCAAACTGAGATAAAGGAACATTTTATTTTGACTAACATTGCCTGATATTGATAGACCTTAAAACGTTGAATTTCTTTCATGAAAAGAATTCAAAAACAGCAATTGATTACTTTCACTGTTGAATTCAATGTCGAATTTGTACGAAATTTTCTTACTGTTTTGGGTGTTTATTCTTTCATAATTCATAAAGAGTGTGTAGTGTAATAAAAGGCAGTATTGGTTATGGAATTCCGTCAGTCGTAAAGTTTTGTCAGAAAATAGAAATTTCATCTAAAATGAAGTAAGTACATTTATTTTTGACAATATTGGAAATTGTTGATTAGAATTGTATACAGAGTTCAAAAATAAATTATGATTTTTACTTCTTATCAGCTTTTTTCAAACACAAAATTTCTAAATTGTCAAAAATGAAGGTACTTTCCCTTCGAGCGACTGATGTAATATGATAACCAATGGTGGCATTTCACTTGATGAGAACTTTTTTTCTGAAATCAATAATTGAAAAGTTTTCCATATAGTTCCAACATACTGAGATATACCCACTGTATATGGAAGATAATCGAATCCGACAAATATGTATATACATTGAGGCTCAATCAGCTTACTTCACAGGTAGTGATACACTTCAAGAGTTTAGTGACTTGACGTCAGGGTCTCAATCTGCCTACTCCTAGGCGGGTTGGCTGTCCTTGTTCATCTTTCACTCCCTGAACCACTGTGCATGCTGTATTTGACAAGTGCATTGGCTTGGGATGCGGGGGTTGAGCAAACCGGCCATCGGATACCTGCTGTTATTCCCTAACTGAATGGCATTCCAACTATGGCTCAATCCTGAGGTGTGTGTATCCGTGCCGAGAGGATGAATGACACTGAGCCTATCAGCTGCCTCTACGGAACCTTCGAGATACCTGGCCCCCTCTCGTCGTAGCATCGCCTTGTCATGGTGATGCGGGACTCTGGCGTGATTGACCTTCTTTCCCCAGCTACTCGTGGGGCTTTTATGGACAGAATAAACTTAAAAATTCTTTCTGACGCTAAGTCTACGGAGACCATGGATGTCAAACTTACGACTACAACTGACCTCCCTATGAATTTAGATCAGGAGCGAGAGCTTCTCAACTCTCCATCTCCTCATCCAATAACTGAACCTGAAAAAAATATTTGGTGGTGCAGTCAGGAAACAACTGAATCGTCTCCTCGAAAGCGGGGTAACTTATGAAATCGTCTTGCACCAAATTCTTGAGCGGCGTACGCAAAATCTGTCTCCAGATAACCTCCATGAGCAGGTTAGCAACCGTTTGCGCTTAAGTAATGATTCAACAAAACCAGGGGCAAAAAAGCGCTGCACGGTTGAATCTGGGGCATCGTCAGGTGTAGCTGACATGCAAAAACCCTCATATGAGAAGGTTGTCGCGGGTATCAAGGTGGGAATCTTGCACGTTGACTATCCCACTACCTCATCAACGATGAAACAGCACAGCATATACTTTGTGACTGCCCCACTGGAAACATATAGTTCAGTAGAGCCGTACTCTCATCATATGACCTGAAAGACCACTCACCATACAAACTAATCAGCTTCGTTAAGAAGCTGAGTTTATTCGGTCGAGTGTGAACAGGTTTGAGCCAAAAAAACCTTGCGGGTTGCGGTGGAGGGTCGAATAGACCCACTCACTTTGGGCCAAACCTAACCTAACCTGCCTAGTTCCAAGCAAGGACTGAGGTCCACAGGCTCTGATCTTGTATTGATTTCCCTGGACAGGTGGACAGGCGCACTGACAGTGGTAGTAAAAACGATTTCAAACGAGGTAGAGATATATGAAATACTATTTTCCACCTGCCCCAGAACCCACATCCAACCCCATTCGTCTTCAAACATCGTCTCGGAAAAGGCCACACAATATGTTTCGCAAACACCCAATGATAGGGGAGCCCAAGCAGGGATTTCGCGATTCACTAAAGCGCGGCAGATTAATATACAGGGAGATACCTTGTACCCGGTTAAGTACCTACACCAAATATGAGCCCTATATATAAGGACGCCTGTGAGGGATAAAGGATCAGATTAGTAAAAAAAATTGATCATCAGAAATCCTCGGGCGCGTCAGATTAAGGTAGAGTGAGTTAATTACCTGCTGAAAAGTGTATATTCCAGTAATCTGACAATTTGAGAGTGACGTAAAGAAAGGGAGGAGCAGCAAAGTTGTAAAAAAAACTTCATTTCGACATTTTCGAGCGTAGCTAGTATTTTTTCATTTTGAAGAAAATAATTCAAGGATAACGAAAAATTTATTATCTGACGATTTCCGCAAGCCGAAATGACAAAAATTCGTCGATAAAGTTTTATGCGTACAGCTGTGTGATACCTATATCTTCCTCTCCGAGTTTCTATTCCTCTATCCTCTATTCACTTTTTCTCTATCTATTACTCTCCCACTCCGTCATCACTCTGAATTTTGTTGCCATGACGCCATCACAGCTGATCACAGAGACTCGTTCGTGATGAAGATGAAGATGATGAATAATTAATCAATTGATTGATGGGAGTAGCCGTTACTACGTGGTGGAAAATTATATAAAAGAAAAGAGAAATTGAACTTTCTATGTTTTTTACCACTTTTATTTGTAACTAACATTACTGCAGTTTCGTCCTATAAGGACATTCTCAAACGTATAATGAGACATCACGTCTAAAACATAAAGATCAACCATATATATCTTGATCTGACGCGATTGAGTATTTCAAAATGGCGATTTTTTTTGCACATTATAATAATGGCCGCGAGTTTGCGTCAGATCGAAATCGTCAGATTATTGAATGAGAGCTTTTTTTTTGTTGCACTTAACACTCCCTCAGAAAATCTGACGCTCTCGATTAAATTTTTTTTCTTTTCACTCTTAACCCTTATGTACAACCAGCAACATCATGCAAACGATCAGATTACCATACCAACATTATTAAAAATACGTAGGACATTGATGCTATCAATATCTGACGCGCTTGAGTATGTCCATGCAATAGTATTTTTTTACATATTTAAAAATCTATAGCTGTTTCCCTCACCGATGAGGAAGTATATATTATATAACAGTTTTTTCTTCTTATCATCTAAGCTTTGCAACCTAATTTGTCTCAATGACGCTCGAGTAAATCCCCATTTTGCCTCGTGTGCTCCCCTGCTACAAACGATGGCCACCGAAAAAATTGTCGAAGTCAGAGTTATTCACGGAGCTATCGAAGTTAAAACAGTTCAACTATCCCAACAAACGATTTGATCAACAAAGATAACCTCATTCATGGATATCATTACTATCACGCCGCTTATCTCTCAACGTTATTCACCTAGCTTCTACAAGTAATAGCTCTGTTTTTACTACCAACACTGCTCACGATTTCACTACATAACCATCCATCTGTACAAGGACATGAATACGAAACCAGAGCCTGTGGACCCATATGCCACTCTTGGAAGAAGGCAGATTGATAACTTTGTAGAGAACAGTGATGAAACCTGGGAAGTAGGCAGTTTTTCCAAAAACTAAACACAAGTACTACAGGAGAATCCTCGAGGTACTCTAAGAGCGGTGCCTGTGCGAAAGTAGCGATTCCCGTTGGATTTTAATCGCTGGAGATTAAATTAATTTGAAACAACGTTCTCAGGAAGTTTATTCCACATAAACGCAGTTCTCCAAATGAAGCAGTTTTTCTAGAGTGGAGTTAGAGGTGTACTGAGTTGATCCTCAAAACGATGGGCAGCCACAGTCCGTCGCGTATTTCTGATAATATGTCCCGCTCTTGGTGGAATCGAATGTGCCAAGTCACTTGAACACTTTCCGTGAAAGTATCTATAAAAGAGAGACAAATCTCCAACCTTTCTTTGATGTTCCATAATATCAATGTTGCAAGTGATGTTCGTGTCTTCAATCAGGTGGAGGGTATGATTAGGGGCGGAACTCCATACAT